TGCACACATGGAACCAGATAACCATCGGGCATCTTTCGCGATAACGACTGTCTGTCTATTCGGATACCGTCCCTACTGAGATAAACATTATAGACAAAACCATATTGTGTCTCGCCTAAACCATACTTAATTTTTGACTACCAACAAGATACGGTGCTTTCCAAAAAAACGAGACAGCCTCTAGTTGTTTTAGAGTATCAAACTTGGATTAGCCCGTTCAACTAATCAGGGGCACCAGGTGCTCTTGATGTTCTTGAGTGTGGGTTTCAATCCTCGGGAGATCGTTAATTCCGCATTCAAATGTGATGGAAATGTTTGTATTATTGTTAGCAGTATTTTTTGTTTCACGAATCATTTTGGAATGTCCTATTCTTTTTATTTATCTGACAAAAAATTGACATTTATTCATGCACGAAATTCTGTTTATTCAAATACAACTGTGTCAGCTTCTGGACATTTGCGAATCTACAAATACCGAGTTCCTGAATGAATTTTTCGCCATTCGTGACTAGCAACAAGGCTTCTCTCGAATGAGCACTTATTGTTTACGGGGCCTGTTCATAGCGTATTGATGATCTACTTGCCAGTGATTTAAGTCCATGATTTCTTCATTCAAGTCAAGAATATGAGGATGAGGTCATTCCCATAGGACTCGTTATTTGATCGATAGCGCCCGATATCAGATGGAGTTATCATGTCTTTTTCATTGTGGATACTGGCTGAATCCATGGTCGCTGATCTCTTAGCAAAATGAGAGGCAGCAATAAATCGACCCAGTTCCTCATAATCACCTGCGTGTATCATGATTTTTTCTTTGGGGGGGGGGGGGGCTANCTAATCCCAAACGAATATCTGAGATACATTTGACCTATTCGATCCTGTATTTTCCGGTGCACAAGTATTGCAGTTTTATCCACAGCATTCATGTCAGACAGTTGGTATTTGTAACATCTGTGCTACCATAAAGTACACAAGCGTGTTTAATAATCTCATTGTTTTCCAGTTTGATCACTGTTGTTCATCGGTCTAGAAACAGTTCAGTTCGCTGAAGGAAACGAACTAACCCGTGTTGTGGTGCTTTGAATTCATTTCAGGAAATTTTAAAATGTGGTGTATTACAACAGCATTGCGTGGATTCGAACCTTTCACACTTCAAACATAATAACCCGTGATGCCATTTAAATGTGATGACCGACAAAGAGCACTGGACAGCTGCTTTCTTCTGTTTAGGACTCGTCAGCAGTGCGTACTTTTGTGTTCCTGTCAAATCTCGAACCGCGAAAGTTCGGGCCGGGATTTCAAACTCTTACCCCTGAGCTACACGGTCGACGGTCACACTCTCTGTATGAATGGAATAACCAATATAATAATGATAACAAATATTTGAGTATCAAGCGCAACCGGATTCCTTGCTTTGTTGCTGGAATTCCCTTCATTCAATTTGTTACCTTTAAGTTAAAAAATTGTTGCGCACTTGACCTGAACTTGAAATTCCTAGCACTTCTTTTTTCAACCTGTTGAGCAAGGCTCTCATACCATACTCTTTAATTTCATACCAGTTCACTTCAGTCTACGTAGGACGTAGGACCCGCTGTCTTGCGGTCATGCTCGTGTTAGAACTAAAGGCTTTGAACGAGAACCCTAATCTTTCTTCTGCTTAATGGCTGGACACCCTGGCAGTGTAAACTGAGTGCATTGCGTTTTGAATGGTTTCTCAATGTTGATCTACACTCCTTGATGGGATAGTAGTTAACCTTGCGGTCCCATCACAACGACACTGCACCTTGACCTGGCGTGATGGCTTCTGGACCTCTATGACCCAACGAGCTACACAGAATGGCGTTACCAAACCAGGAAATCTTATTATGCCTGAAATGTCAGAGGGTAGAGGTCAGGCAAAGATCAGTGTCCTGGTCCACCAGGTGGGTGGTTCGACTAGAATTCGCGTTTCGGTCGGTAAAATGTTGGAGAGTAATCGATTCAAGTAAATGAGGCTTTACTTCGCTTTACCCGCTGCCTTGCGTTCAGGTTCTTGTTAGAACCAAAGGATTTAGTGGAGAATCCAAATCTTTCGGAATGCGCTTTCACCTTCAAAGGGCAAGGTGATGCAGCAAGGCTGGGTGTCGCCGAGTTACTTTCTGAAACTTAGTGATCAGGAATTAGCGGAATTCGACTAATTCTCGTATTTGGGTAGCTACGTGACCAACGACAGTAGAAAATATCCACCCGCATTTCCAAGGTTTGAGCAGCGTACTCGGGACTTAAACACATATAGCGCTGACGTGACGTTTCACTAAAAAGTAAAAGTCGCATATACTGCTCCACTGTACGATCAGTTCTGCTTTACGGTTGTGAGATCTTGAATTTGTAAGGTAGAAGACACCCGTCCCCTAGTGGTTTTCGACAATCGGAGCTTACGTAATCTGGGCCAAGTGGGATGGAGTGAGCGAGTTAGTAACTTAGAAGTAAGTTGTCGGATGTTTGGGAATGCATGGCAAACGAACTCGCTATCGCGTTGAATTCAACCGCACAGGCTCCCTTGGTTAAGACACGTTTCGCATATGTCCGACGGTAACCTTATTTTCAGTGACTGTTGCAGACTGGAGAAAGCCACGTGGAGGATAGTAGATGATTTGGAGAGGAAGCATGAAGAACTGCACAGAGCGATTAGGTAGAGGTGTTTCTCGTCTTCCGGGTTTGGATTCAAAAGACTCCATAGCCGCATGGTTGGAGATTGGTTGAAGGTCATGGCAGCAAACCGATAGCAGTGGCAATCATGCTCTCATTTCTTATCAGATGAAAATGCTTGGAATAGTAAAAACGAGCAGCTGCACTGCGCTCTCTGTGTGCTGACCATACAGTTTCGCTTTCTTTTCCCGTCCCCAAAAATAAGCCCAATCACTATTCTCGATACACATTCTCACTTACTCTGCGTGCATTATGAGTTTGGCGGCGATCAGTCAAGTTCGCTGTACGTTGTACAATGTTATGATGATGATGATGATGAACGAAAAATGACCCTAGCCAATGAAGCATCCAGTGCGTTATGTTGTGGGTAAAGTAAGAACTTTGAGGAAAGCTCGGCGAACGAAATCGCAAGTGCCCGACAGGTGATCTGTTTTGCCCTCACCATACACGTCAGTTTTATTCCACCCATGTGAATCACCTGTCAATTGACAGGTTCATTTTCGGAGTTGGGTCTACGTAGAAAGTTGCATTCTTCTAGTCAGTAGATGTAACAACTATAATCCTGCAATTCACAATGATGTCAGATAACAACCACGTTGATTTCTGTGTCATCTAACAATTCGATCATATGCCATCACTTCATAATCTGTGATTAAAAGGAGTTATTTCGTTTTGGCCACTAATGAAGGACATCGTGTAGTTCATTTGTGAGAAATACAAAGAACCCACAAGGGAACATTGGATCGATCAATATTTGGGAATATCTTTTGAAACATCAGTATAATTTACCCACATGTTTTATTTTTTTCACAAAGTAACGATATCAACACATACATCATTATAATCCATTCAAATGCATATCGATTGATCGAGGAGTGTCTGAAAGATGTTCATTCCTTAGGCTGAAAGGTAGAATATGCTCGTGTGGGAAATGAGCATAACACTTGTTCTTTTTAAATTCAATGTAGTGACCTAAAGCAAGCACACGCATTAAGTCGTTTTTCATTAAGAATGAATGAATCCAGTGGAAGGGTTCAACCCCATCATCTGAAAGTTTTCTTTACATGATTGAACAAAATCCAGATGAATAGCGTTGAAACACCGGTAAAGAAGCGACCACTTGGTGGTGACCTACTGACGAAATGTTAGGGTTCGGTGGTTGAAAAAGAGACTGGGCTCACATTGAACTGAGCAAGAAGAGATAAAGAGGTGAGCAAAACACGAAACCGCACAAAACTACCATACTTATGTGTAAAATAAATCTGAGCGAGTAAATAGAAGCGATTCACACAGTTCGTTTATGAAATAAAACGCTCTGACTAAGCCCCAACCGTTACGCTTTTGAACGAACCAAGGTAAGGCTCAGTGTTTGTGTACGGTCAAGTTATGCGGCGTTGGATCAGTATGGAATCACCTGCAAATTGTACGCTTTGTTTTGTGCATTCGGGAATTCGTAAACATCGACTTAATTTCTCGCTTATTCTTTTGCTTCCTCTCAGCAACTGAAATGTATACTTCATTAAGAAAAGTGAATTAATATTTGGATAAGTTTAATACCAGGACCAATAAAAGTAAGCCGTCCAATTTCGAACCAAGAATCCGGTTCAAGATACTTATTCAACCGATTTATGGACGTGAAGAATATTACACTCCAGATTACCGGCAAAAATTCGCTATTCTGTCCGGACTTGACAACCCTCTTGATTCTACAACCCACTAATGTCCCACATAAGATTGTTTGGATTTCTATCCACTGAGAATATTGAGCGTATCAGCGTGCGTATCCAAGTGTTGATTCTGAATTCACGAAAAGGTTTCACACAACGAGACTGGGAGTTCTCTTCGAAAGTCCGCAGCTTGCCATTTTATGGAAAAAGACTTAGGGAACTAATCGTTCCCCAAAACCCTCATTCTCAAGGTGATGGACTTCTGCAGTATTACACACTGGTTATGGTGCTCTCCTTTATTTCTCCTTAGTTAAAATAACATGGTTTTATGTCTGTTTATACATACGGTAAACTAGGTCTCAACACAACGGCATTGATAAAACTATTTAGATTGATTCTTTTCTCGTCTAGGCATTTTGACATATGTCCTAAGTTTTCTGATAGAATAACTCCTGATAAAATGTATCTCCAACCGTATTTCGAATTTGGACTCCTCTTTACATATCCATATGCATACGAAAACGATATCATTTCTTACCCTGTTCATCTCTTGGTTAATCGCACGACAATAGTCACCTAAGTCAACACTAGAACAGCGAGAAATTCGACATTTATGGAAGAAGCTCACGTCTCACGTGTTTTCAGTACCATCGTCCACCTCTTATGCGGAATTTCGAATTCATGCGGCGTAATGCTGCTGCTGCTGCTGCTGCTGCTGATGATGATGATGATGATGATGATGATGATGATGATGATGATGATCACTTATGCGCATTTTTGACGGAGTCATTGCTTGCGTTTTACCTGTATCCTGACACCATCAAAAGCAACCGTAGATGATGGAAACAACAACGAACACCCTTCTGTGATGATTTTTTATTTGCAAAGTGAATTTCGAACTTGCTTCAGGATGGAAACCGACTCGTTAGATCCATTCAATATCGGAAAATTTCAGAGCGAATTCAATGTCCCATGATCGTTTTACCGTCCACACACTTTCTGCTTGGATAATGTTTCTGCTCATTGGAATGGTAAATTATCAGATTATGAAAGTCATCTTATGGTTAAATTATTATGAAATGTAGTGACTGTTTGGTGACGATACAACCGATCGGGAAACCGCTCGCTAAATCTTCCTTCTTGAGAGTTTCCGTCATTGACAAAGGCAGATTGATAAATAATCGTTTCATAGGTTCGGTGTAGAGCTGGCTCTGTTGCAATTTCGTTTTCAGATACTCTTCGATGGACATGTCTGGGTATTCATTCTGTCAGAAAATGCTTTGTAGGTGTTCTGATTCACTTGGTATTGTTCCGTGGGAACAAATCATTCTTGCTCGGTTGGGTAGACAACGCACTTGGTTTCGTTTTTGCTTGATCGGTACTGCACTGTGGAGATTTATGTATTGCTTAATCCACGTTTGCTTTCTTTACACGTTCCTCTCAATGGTTCCTGTCATTTCTGGAAAGTAGCGCATCGAGAAAAGGATTCCATCTATCCTGTTCTGGCCTGCAGTCGAGTTATGTGCCCATCACATGACTGACCGTTGCGGCCCACCACCACACGCACGTGCGCACCTCATGCGGGCTCCAGTCTAAAATGTATCGACTGATGTACTCTGTTGAACGTCAGTAAAAGTTGCGAAACATTTGTTGTTGCATTGCTAATGGCACAGATATCATCAATGTAGCGACAATAAGTATCCAGTTGAGAGATCGTGTCTTTTAGACCATGGCTCTGCAACTCAGCTATAAAGATGTCTGTTATAAATGGGCCAAGTGATGAACCCATTGCCACACCATCAACTTGGGGGTACATGCGTCCATTGCACAGGAAGTTAATGTTCATTGTGCAACGAAAAATAGTTCTTTCAGTTCTCAAATTGGAATTGCGGTGTTTATCTGGTTTTGCCAAGTGAATTAGAGCACCTACAAAGCAGTTTCTGACAGAATGAATACCTAGACATGTTCATCGAAGAGTACCTGAAAACGAAACTGCCAAAGAGCCAGCTCTACACCGACCCTATGAAACGATTATTTATCAATCTGTCTTCTGTCAACGTCGACTCTTCGAAAAGAGACTCTCAAGAGCATTAAATTCTACATATTACGCCGCGGAACTGATGATATTCTACTCATCTGATCTGGTTATCGCTCAGAGACTTAAGGATCGACTGCCACTGTCAACCATTTCTGTGTGTCTATCAATTTACGTGCTTCTGTGGAGTCGGCTACATTAGTCGTACCATTCGGCAGTTGACCAAAAGGATTCAAGAACATCATCCGACTTGATTGAGAAAAAGATTATCAAAGATCATTCATAATACACAATGTTAGACCAATGGGATCGACAATGGTGTAATCAAGAACACCGTACGAGGGCAAATATGAATAAATCAATGAGGACCAATAATCTTTCACTAATCATTTTTTCACGCCATTCAATATCTTAAAACGGGAGTGATCGCTACATTTTTTCTACCCTACTTGAAATCTTGTTATTGCGGATCTCGGCGGCGAAATACGGATGCCATTATTATCCACATTGCTATCACTACCCGTTCTTCAGTTGATATCCACTCACGTTCTTGTCTGTGACTAATGCGTTAAAATGGATTATTAATTTTCTACCTTATTTACACCTTGCACAAATGAATACTGTTTTTCTCGGCTGAGAGATTCTCGTCTGCGCATACTCACCTCGAATGGCTTAAAGACAACATTATATTGTCCTCAGATCAAAGGAAATCACACTTGTTTTTAAGCGTTTTAATCGATATGGGGTCTGAAATCGGGGGTGGTAGCTCCATAGTAGTACTTCACTATCTGATACGAATCATTTGTTGATTGATTATTTACGAACTTGAAGGCAATCGATGTGCTGATCTGTACGTATGTGTTTGGTCGTGATCACGGAGATGACGCATCAAAGTAAGAAGTCAACCAAGTCTGTTTTCAGGTACACCAAATGAACAGCAAATCAAAAAATCATTTGGCCCGTTCGTCAGCTGTTAATACTGAACACACCATTTGTAAACTTGTTTGTGAAAAAAATTCTTGTTCGAAAAAAAGAACTTCGGTACAGATCGCGAAACATCCCTTTCCCGATATGAACTTGAATAAAACAAAGCAACAGCACAGTATTGCACAATCTGCTGGATAAAATATCGAAAATCGGTGTGTGCGACTGGTACTGCGGTAAACACTTATAAGTTTGACATCTTTCGGCATCATTGCTATCTTCGTGCACTTCAGCCTAAATAAGGCGGTTGATACGTTGACGGAATCTTCATTAATCGATGGATAATCTACGGCAGTTAATCATCAACTTTGCTTATCATTCAATGCTTTTAGGACATTGGCGTCGGTGTGTCTACCTGTATTCATCACATACATAGACATATTATTTACTATCCAAGTGGTTATCATCGTTATGTGAAGAGGAAATGGCTTTGCCTTTCACGAGGCTACTGTATATACCCACGTTGTAGAATTACCTAAATGGTGCTAGTGGTCACAAAACCCGATGCTTGATTCCAGATAACACGAGTAACAAATGCAAGAAAAGTGTAGTGAAGGCTTTCACGTTGATTCCTGACGCTGCTCTTCAAACCTCGCAACTCTATTTGTGGATTGTTTCCTAGATAAATACAGAATTAAAGGGGAAATTTGTCCTGTATATAAAAAAGCGTGAACTGAAAAGCTAGGAAGCACTGGGTAGCTGTTTCGACCTGGTTGGTTCTCATCAACCGTGCAAATCTCTCGACTCAACTCGACTTCCCAGGTAGAATGCAAGCGTACCACTCACCTGACAACCGGGCAGCGGACCAGTTTGTTTCTCACTTTGAATATACACGATGTTGCACAACCGATCTCCGCGGGCTTATTGTGGACGTTGCACCTCGCTCATCTCCGGGGTTATGACTCGGTTGGAAACTTTCATTACCTGATTTCATGAATAGATTTTATCCGAGATCATTGTGCTTCTGGACTACTTGAAGATGACGTTGAAATTACGGGCAAATTCAAACACACTGCCTCTTTAGCCACGGATATTATGACGAATCTTTGCTGACGCAGTTATAAATCTCTCCATCGCTGCAGGTACTACTTTTTACAGTATACTGGGCACACGGATGAATACTCTTATATTTCAAATCTAATCTGGCTCATCGATCATTTTTGTGAACACACGAATCTCCATTCGCGTGCTAAACAACTCTTGCTGTGCGATCCCGTGCGGTCTTCCAGTGCTCTGCCCTGCGCGTGTGCAATCATGTTTGGGTCCGTGCACTAATGCTCGTTTGTACTTTCTGCATCGGATGGACCTCGTTTTTGACCTTGACTCATCACATGTCTGGATCAGAAATTTTCACTCCCCGCCCCCCTCCGCAATTCATCCCCGAAGTGAGATTAGGGTTCAGTCTTTGACCTTGTCTGAACCACATGCGATACCGACTGTCAACGTCCGACAAACAGACCCGAAGGATTCCATGTCACCCCTTCGCCGGTCCTGTCCCGAACGAGTCGTAGCGACCAAAATCAAAGTCCATGTGTTCTTCATTGTCCTCGTGACATGTTAACCAGTCAGCTCAAACAACCACGCCTAATCTCGTTGATTCTCACACCGTAGGCCGTTCAACCAAGCCCCGGTGGCACAGCCTACTGAAAGTTAGTAAACACCCATCGATCGTGAATTGTGCCAAAGTACTGAATGGAAAATTCTTTTTCAAATCTAGCTCTTTGCGAATGCGGTTTTTGGGTATTGCTCTAACAGAAACAGAAAACTTCTCTGCTCAGGTGGCATTAAATGAAAGATTTACATCCTACTGAGCACCTTTGATTTATCAGATGAATACACACACTGCAGGATCTTTGACTAGGCTAGTTTCGGGATGAATATTCCAAAAAATCGTGATGGTCTTACCAAACATTTTTTCCCCCAATCGAATCGACTGAGGTGGAATATGACCTCGTGTGAGCAAAATTAATCAAACTTTCTATGGGATATTTTATTCAAACTTTTCATTGAAATTCACCCAATGTCCTGTACAGTCAGCAGTCTACATCTATCTGTCTAATGTAATGTTTATTCAGAACTTATTGACGATATTCCTATTACGTGAGTATGCGACATATTGCTAAGCTCTCAGCGGATATGCATCACCTATCGACCGACAGTTTTCAGGAACATGAAAACAGAGAAGTAAATTTCTCGTAGCGTCCGTGTAAACACATGGAGTGATGTATATGATACCGCTTAAAATTTTATTCTGGGGGGTGGGTGGGTACTGAATAATTTATATTTACTCCAACATGACAAAATGGGAATGCGAATGAAACCGTTAAC